CCCCTGCAGGGGCCGGCATCTTAAAGCTCTATCCTGAGCCCCTTCATGTCCGCATGAAGGGTGCCGCGTGTTCCCGCTAAAAACTTGCAAAGATTCGGCCCCCACTGCCAACCAAACTACAACGGCTCACGTATGCTTTAGAGAGACTTTAGCAGCAGGTCCCCAAACAACTAGCGCATGGCACCGGTCCAGCTCCTGGGACACCATCAGCATTACCGCTGGTGATTCCAACGTTTTCCAATTTGCCTAGGCACCAACGACGATTGGGTTTGGCATCGTGATCACCTTCTCACCCTTCCCACACCCTTCCCACACCGTCCAGGGCAGACCCGGCATGCTTTTTAGCGAGACGATCCCGGACCAACGGCCATGTTCCACCAAGCTGATCGCCTTGGAGCCCATAAGCGCCGACTTGTAGAAACTCTGTGGAGCCACAAGCTTGGATAGGTACGCCAGACAGTGCCCACACAGTCTGGGACATTCGAGCATGGACCAAGCCCAGCGTAGAGACCTGGTATCAGTGTGGCCAGAGGTGCGGAAGATCAAACGCGGCCTCATGCTGGAAGATCAAACGTTGACACCTATATGGCGGACATCCAGGCGGACACCGAAGAGCAGGGGTCCCAGCATCGTGCGGATGCGCCAAGCACATCCGGAACACCGTCGACCCCGAATGAGAGAAAAACCCAATTCGTCCACAATTTTCCGCATGCGTTGGGGATGGTGGGTTCGGCGCACCGAGTCCCCTGCCGTGTCAACCATCACGTTACGCCTCATGGACGCGCAGTGGTGAACAGCCGGGATTGGGTTCCCAGGTTTACTGTACGCATTGACCCCCCTGTGCGGGCCTATAGATGCCCCCATGAGGCACCCGGATTCCCGAACAAAAGGTCCTACATCGCGCGGACCGACTTGAAGCAATCAGTGGATGCCGAGATCTTGGGCGGGCAAACAAATCTGCATGCATGCATCATGGTCACCAACGAGCCTGTTTCGAAGCACGCCCTACTTTCAGAAGGAGATGTGATCTTGCTACTTGTAGCAGATGGAGAAAGCCCTCATGCAAACCACACCAAAATACCGCGTTTCTGCCCACCAAAACATACCAACCTGTGCTTCAGGTCAACATCAGTTGGAGCATGCGAGTACCTGTGCATGTTAGATTTCCATCCGTATTCCATCTTGGATTAACGACCGGGGGCACCTCCAGTTTCACCACATTTTTGTTTGCCACCCATCCCACCCCGGTATAGCGTGAAGTTTCGCTCGCGGAATTTGCCCTTGTGCAGACTGGTTCGGTGTGAACAGAACCAGGGATTTCGTTTGCATTAGCCAGGCACATCATTTGTGAATCAGAGACGTAACTCGGCCATCGTTGCGAGATTGGCTGGAAGAGAAAGTCTACTCCCGGTCATGCGATAGGTACACTGCGATTGCACCGTGGCAGTCGCGTTTGAAAGCAGGGCGTGCAGCTGTCAGCATCGTTGCTGCTAGGTAGCCATTGAGATTGTACTCGCTGGCCTAAAACCCCAAACTCTCTTCGAAGACTGTCCGCAGAGGCACAACTATGCTTCCTGAGTCTTGTAAGTGAGCAGCACAAAAAGGAGGCACGACAACGAAACAGCAAGGCCGCATGGCAGTTAGCCGTGCCAGCAGCATGTAGCTACCCCAATCAAAAAGGATCCAGAGACATCCAAAAAGCAGGATCACGTACTTTACATATGCTGCAGCAAGTTCAAACCAAACCCGGTATACATCAAATAACATTTCGGAAACATACATGATATGCTCTGAACCATTATGATACTGCTCGCTGGTATTCTTTTGACGACTTATATGCCGGGCGCTGGCATACCATTCTATGGAGACTGAGGTGGCTAAGTCATGGGTCACGTTGTGTCATGTTGTCTTTATCCTGAGGACCTTTGACGGTCCTTTCTCTGCATGATCCTGTGGTCTTTCTCCATTGGTGCCACCCATTTTACAGGCCACTTTCTCTATAAAACGTGGCATCCGATTTTTTTACGCCACAAGGGTACGGGGATGTCAGATGTTGTCGTTATCCTTCCCTTCAGCGGCCTCCGAGTAGACAAACACGCTGTTTTGGAGACAGTGGATTGCTGTGGCCTCACATCCTGAGGTCAGTAGAGAGTTACTGGTAGGTCCCTGGCAATTAGTTGTCCAAGTCCTTGTGGGCGCCTTAATTTTCAAGCAGCAGTCAGGAACAAGCCTCGGATTTTGATTGGGCAGAGGACACAATTCATAAACTAAGGACCCTGAAAACCGGATCCTTGATGCATTTTGCAAAGATTCCTTGAAATCCTGAGCGCGTGATTTGCTGCTGCAAGAGGTGTTTAACCCGGTCCCGCCGCACTCGTGCACCTAGCATGTTCGGTATCATGGGTCCGTCTCGGAAATTTCCTGTGGCCCTTTGCTGCAAAACTGCGACGCACTAGCTGCGCCCCAGTTGGTCCTCGGTTCCCACTCTGACTACAGGGTAGACGAACTGAAAAGCAGGGACAGCTCTCACTGCACATTCCCGCCCTAAAGGCCAAACTGGGGCACGCCCAAAATCAAGTTGCTGAACCAAAATCAACTTGCTGAACCAAATAGTATGCAGCACTCAAATTGCAACGCGACTAAGCCCTCCCGTGCGACTCAGGCCTGCTGCTGCCGCTGGTCCGTTGCATTTAGTTTAAGCTCGCTGGTTGGAGTTGCCTTATGGCAAGCGGTTTGGTTGCACCTGTGACTGCAATTTTCTAAGCTCAAAACACGCCCATTCCCAAAAGGCCAATTGGCTGCTCAATCCCCGCCTTGATGCTGGAACTGATGGCATTGTCGTCGCTCGGACGCATGATAGAGTGTTGAATGGCACCAGCATGTGCCATATCAGCTGCTACCTGGTGGCCAGCGAGATTACGTGTGTATCAAAGACCTATGTTACATGGCCATCTATTGAATTCGCTTTCAACGCAAGATGTAGAAACAACAAGCCAGTAACTCTACTAGGAACATGTTTATATGTAGAAGGCAGCCGCCTGAGGCTTTGGATCAGAAGTGACGCGTGCAGGTAGGACGTCAGCAGGAAACACAATCGCAGTATGTCCGTAGTTGAGTCAAGATAGCCAACTGCAACCGCAAAGCTTGTCAACCAGGATTAATGCCAAAAGGGTTTCGGGAGGGCTCATCACCAGAAAGCCCAGGTGCCAAGAACTAGGGATCAAGTGATATCATCTAGTCATGGCGACTAAGTGAGCACACTCAAAAAGTGAGGCCCGTGCCGACATTCTCCGCGACAGCTTTCACAACTGGAGATGGCTTTGTTCCCATGTAAGAAATTCTGGGAATTTAGACTCCCAACGCAAAACTTGCGCGGGTGTGCCACGTTCACAAGTACATGGCTGTGGCAAAAAAAGGCAAGTTCACACAAACCCGAACCTAAGCATGCTGTGAGGTAGCTTAGGAAACGATGCCAGACAGATGCCATAATAGGTGTGGAGTGACGTTTGTGCCAATTGGGCCTATCTGCAAATCAGAAGGTGGACGGGGAGCCTGCTGGCCCTTGAAAAGATGCCAGCAACCGCTGAGCAAAAGAAGGAATTACTGTTCAATCCTTTTGAAGTTCGTTTGGCTCCACTGTTCCGCTAGCTGGCTGCCTGGCTGGCTGGCTGGCTTCTTGGTTCTATGGCTTGTTGGCACGGGTGCTTGCCGGCTTTTTGTCTGGCCACTTTTCTGAACTTCTTCGCTTGCGGGAGCTTCTTGGCTTGGGCGCTTGTTGGCCCTTCTTTCCATTGTTACGTATTCTGATGGCTAGCATTGCTGTTTCCACCAGCTGTGCCTACTGTTCCCGCGACTGAAAAAAGTGATTTCACTCAGTATCAGCGCGAGTATAAACACACATATACACATATACATATATATATATGTATATATGTACATATTTCTCTTTGCTGGTAGCGCGGAATTCACTGCGCATTATCTAGTGATCTAGTGTTCGACAACTCTTATTCATCCCTCCATTTCCACTATATTCATTTCGGCTGTAAAATTCTTACGGCATTTCAAAGGGCGACATGCATGTTTCCGATCGGAGAACGTGCTGAGAAGGTTAGCCGAATCAATTGCCCAGGCCCTCGTGAAGGCAGACCTGACCAGCATCAGGGACAACAAGCAGTTGCAGAGGTTGCAGCTTGCCTGCAAGCCCAGAAGCACCCGCACTTTGGTTAAAGTGCACGTGTGTGCTCCTAGCACCAAGGCCTTCGCAGCTTGAGCAGCTTGAAACAGGTGCTGCTACTTCGACGTTTGGAACAAAATCCACCAGCAGCATCTTGGCTGCGGGAGGCCTTACAGAGTGAATGTACTAAAGCACTGAAACGTTTCAGTGGAGCAGTGCCTCCCGGACTGCAACCTCACCCTTCGAATTTAAGTGTGACAGAGGTTGGAGTAGGCGTCTTGTCAGACCTTCCAAGGAGAGGAGTACAAGCCAAGCCGGAGCTCGCCTTCGATTGACGTCTGGGAGTTTTGTGCGGCACAATTTGAACAATGCAATTGCAATGGACGCATGCGTTGGGGAACGCGAGACAAGTTCCAAGTATTTCAGCCACAGGAGGCCGCTTGGCAATGTGACTTTCTGGCGCTGGGTGATCCTGCGCCAGGTGATGATTCTAAGGTGTGCGAGTGTGAAGCTTCGGGCGCACAATCACACGAAGGTTTCGAATGGGTCTTTTGTGCCAGCCAGTTCATGCTATGTGAATGTCCTGGTCGCATACGTTGGGGGAATGGCCATCGATGGAAGATTCTGCAGCACCACAACCCTGGTCAGCTGGTAAAGTGCGCCACTGATGATCTCGGAGACCCCGCCCCAGGATTCCTTGAAGTCAAGCTTTATTGCTGAATTGTCGGTGGGGATCGTCTGAAATCAAGGGCTGCGGTCTGTACCCGAGCCCCTCTAATTTTAGACTGCTGGCCCGGTCTTTCCCATTGTGATGAATGGTGTTGTCTGTTTTCTTCTCTCAACCTAAACCCGAATCAAGTGTTATCATTTGCAGTACCGTTGCTGGCATCGGTAGGGCAGCAAGTCGAACCAAAGCCCCACACGGAGGCGACTTGCTGTAAGACAGAAAGAGAGAGCACCGAAGCACTGAGAAAACCGAAAGAAATGAGAACAAAGGCTTATACCCTCCCAAGCAAACATGCAAGCTGATGTAGCTCCTTTTTCGCAGGACAGTAGTCTCTCAAGAGCACCTGATGTTGGTTTCCCTGTGAGTTTGTGGAAGGGTGTGTAGACCCCGACCAGTGCAAGGCTACCAAGAACGCTCCGAGAGATTAAGTAAACAAGCTGACAAGCACGCCCAGAGAGTCCAACGGCAGTGGAGGACCTGACCAAGAGAATTATAAGTGTGAGCACCTTAGAATGTGCGGATACTTTCTGCCGGAGCAAGAGTAGAACTTCAAGAGGGGACGAGGGACGGTAACGAGGATGGAAAAGCCAATCGAGGCTGCAAGGCAAAAACAAATCTACTGGGCAAGTTCACGGAACTTCACGGGATGTTCTTCTTGGCAGCTTCAGATGTGTCGGCCTCAGAGCCAGTCTGTGCCTGCGAAAGTGAGGCCCGCGTGGCTAGAGCTGCGCATCACCTGCGGACCCGCATGACCCACCCAGCTCACAAGGTACGCTGTGGCGGCTCCCTTTATTCCTACTGCAAGAGTGCTAGCAACATGTAACAGACATGTTTCAGGAATTGCAACAACCGAGCCAGTCGTCACAAACTAGGCGGATGTACTAGCTTCAACGATGGCATTGACCTTGCGCCTGCCTCGCCGTGTCACCAGGAGATGCAGGCAAGCACTGCGAATGTGAGCTCGATCCGGCATCGCCATTCTTCGGAAGTATTTCGCCAGCTGTGAAGAGGAGTGCAGGCTCACAGAGAGTGGTGTCCTGTGAAATTCTCGAAGATGCCAGACGGGGTCATGTTTGGGACCAACTGGAATGGAAGGCAGTGCAGGGCTTGTGCTCGGTGCCAGGCTTAAGATTGCCGAAGGCCGGTCTACTTGCAAGCACCAATTCTGAATTGTGAAGCTTGGTCTTCGATTTCAGGCTTAGTACTAGCTGTGAAATCTTAGCGAAGTCAAGTTCTGAATCAAACGGCAATCAACATCTGGCAGCAGTCCCTGTAGTGCGAAGGCTGGAGGAGACTCTTTGGATAATCGATCGCTTCGGTCAATGGTTGATGCATGGATCAGCGATGGGTTTGCCGAAAATTATCGCAAATTGTACAGAGAAGGATGGCTGGAGGAAGGATTCGTCAATTTCATTGGAAGTTCGCCAAGCCGAACAAAGTGGGCAAAGATAAATGAGCAATTGATACGCTCTGTGCATATGTTTTCTACAAGGCCTATTGTCGTTGTGCACTTCGGAATGGTGTTGCCCCATGAGTGGGACCCAACGAAATACCCTCGGTTGGTGGTGCGGGTCTCAGTCACTCGCAGGCAGTGCCAAGCATAGCTCATGCAGAGGACGGGCATGTTGGGATGATGCTGCATCCAGATGTTCTAAGATTTCAGGTCATGCATGCTGCGCCCTTCCCGACTGCCGTGTTCCGTCGATTTGACCTCAACAAATTCCGTTCGCTCCTGATTGCCAGAGTCAAGACAGGCATACAGCTGGACTCCGACCAATTCGTTGCTCCACGGGTTGCCCCCAGACTTGGTATTATTTGCAGGCTCTCTCCCTGCCAATTGCAAGCTCCGAGCGGAACAGGTGGCAGATGTTTGTTTGGCTGTTCATGTTCGCCAATAAGGATGCCTTATTTGAGCGTGCGCGGCAAGAAGGCTCAGAATCTTATCCGCTGCCCATTCTACCGGTACACTTTCTGAGAAATGAGCGGCCTAGATGCAAGCTTCTCTCCGCATGTCGCATGTGCTGCACCTTGCATTTAGGGACTTACTGCACTGGAAGATCGCATCGTTTGAGCACCACGTCAGGGAATTGCCAATGTACCCGGGCAGAAATGGAGGAGTCACGATGAGCGGAGGCACCAGTCACGCTGCTCTTCTGCACGTATGAGTAGCAGCACATAGTGCTGGAAATGAGCCATTGGCAGTGCCAAGCTTGCATTTGCATTCTGTAGAGGAGGCTAGGTTTCGCGACGACACAAAGCAAGCTGCGAGATAATTCAGAAATGTCAGATATGCCCAACAGCCTCGTTGCAGCTCAAATTTCATTCAGCTCAGCGTTCTCTATGATCCACCCTCAAAGCTTGCATTGCATGGCAATCAGGTTTTTGACAGGTATTGCCGCTTCGGCAAGTGCCGCGTCACGACTCGCTGGGGCCACGCTCATCCTACATGGACATTTTGGGCGCTTCCCTTTGTGGGAACATGGATCCGGCGCCATCTCCGGGACCAGCATGAGAGGATCCAGGGTTTTAGAGAACCATGGTGACAGTTGCAAGGACGAGACGCTGCCGCAAATTGATGGAGACCCGAAGACAGCCTTGCGGGTTACCAGCATCGATGTGGATGAGGTGTCCTGAACTCTCATGTTTTGGGATTTGCAGATCCAGAATTTTGACATTGAATTGTGTCATGATTCTGCGAGTTGTCTTGTATCCGAGGACTTGCTGAATATCGGCACCTGGGAGGAGAAGGGTCACAAGCAGTGCCACGATTTTGTTCAGTCAGCTTTCGTCGGTTCCACCGGTTTCATTGACTGGAATGTCTTCAAAAGGACATGGCATCCTGAAAAATTATACGTCTCAGGTGGTGCAAGTATGCTGGAGCCTCAGTTAGTATTGCAGAGCTTGCAAGGGCTTCTTCCTGTGGGCTCTGTCCACAGGACTCCAGCACTTGTAAAAGCTGGGGGCATGCATTTTCATGGCATGATATTGTTTTAGCGCACGGGAGATTGTTTGCGTTCGTTTGCAATTGGCATTCGTCATGCGGGTTCACAAGGACGTCATGGATCCCTCAGACTTCAAGAAGCTTCTACAAGCAAGGGCTTCGCGTGGTTGCAACGAAGCGCTGCAGCCCGAGCACTGATACCCTGCGACACAGTTTGAAGTCCTGGACGTCGTGGTGCTGTTCGCAGTTCCTGCAGGCCACCCATCAATGCAGATGAAGTTTTTCATCCGGCAGGTGCCGCGTGCTGTCCTTACTGAGACTGCTCAGAAGTGTTTTGCATGTTGTGTCGTCTGAACAAGCTTCTCGCAAGGCTGGTGTTCTACACTGCCCATCACGCTGTTGATCCCAACGTTTCAGCTCTTCTGCTGGAGCAGCTTGATGAGCATTTGAAAGCTGGAAAGCTTCCACCTCCGGTGTACTTCAAAGGCTGCTTCTATGAGGCCATGGCCATAGGAGAGTTAAGTTCATCAGCAGGCTACATTCAACCTATAGTATGGAAGGATGGTGCTACACTCATGAAGGCCCACCCGGACGTTCGATGCCTGATCTGATGCAGTCGGCTTATTCAGCTGTGTTACTCAAAGGATTCGTGCGGAAATGTCCGTTTTACTAGACTCAGTTGATGACTGCAGGCAAGTCTCTCAGTCATATGCGGCTTTGCGTGAGCTCCGTGTCTCATCATTTCTCGCAAACGGTTGTGCAGCAGGTGTTCCGAACTAGCTTTACAGCTATGGTGTGCAAAATTGCAGCAGCTTTTCAGTCTCAAGCTCTTCGATGTCACGCTGCTAGTCATGGGCTCTGCAACGTGTTCAGATGGAGACCGATGTGCTATTTGATGAGGCGGCAGCAGGTCTCAAGAAGGATGGCTTCGCCGTAGTCCGAAACTGTGTGGACGCAACCAAGCTGCGGCTGCTGGTCGCTGAGTATGCGGCTCAAGCACAATGAGATGGGTGAGCACCAGTTTGATTTTTCATTAGCGGTACGTACTGTGCACGTGTTTCAGAAGGTATTTAGTGATGATCATGTCGTTAAATGGGATGGCTGGTCACTGTCAGCTTGCAGCCCAAGGAAGAGCGGGTGGTCCCATCAAAGCACAAGTTCGAAGTGCGCCGTGAGCGCCACGGTATTGAAGGTGAAGATGGGCTTGACAGAGTCGTGCATATCGCCAACATTCACGAACTTCCAGGCACCCTGCCCGTGCCAGTCGCTTTCCCAACCTTGAAGTCTTGAGAATTCGCAGACTGCAACCAAGGTTTGGCACACTTGGCTGCTGAGGAGAGATTGCTCAAGCTGGCCTCGGCGTGCTTAGCCAACAAAGGCCGGGCCAAATCTCTTTGAATCACATGGGATGGCATGACATCCAACGCAGGTGTTCGTCCGCTTATCAACGTCGAGCTGTTTGACAAACCACCTTTGGGGAACAGCTCGACAGCAACCCCGCCCCACCAGGACATATCGCTTTTGCCTAGTTTGGTCGAGTCAAATACTCAAATACTTGGCAAAAATGGAGGCGCTTGGATTGAGTCGGGAATAGGTGGGAGACACGGACCGGGATGGAGCAAGGGAGAAGAAGACTGAGAGGAGAGGAGTGGATGGCACATGCAAGGACAGAGGTGTGGCCAAAAAGTGATGATTCTCATGATGCAGTGATTGCTCTCTGAGCGTGAGATTTTGCTCTGCTACGCCTGAAATTCCTAAACTGCAGGATGCCAGAACCTCTCGATCCCCTACTAAACCCTGGTTCAAGTTGAATATAAAGTTGAACCTTTGAAGAAGTTGCTTGGCCAAGCCAGTCCTCAGAAGCCTCCAGCATCTCCAGGCCTACAATTCTAGAGCTGGAGGCTTCTCTGGGGTGCCTTGGCAAAGCAAGATCGAAGGCTCAGTTGAAGCCAGTTCAACAACCATCTGCTTTCAAGAGCCTCCAAAAGAGATTTATCCTGCGGTTTTCCAAATGAATGGAAACCTCGTGCCATTATGCCTTTAAGCTGGCCATACCTTCAATCGCGAGGGAGCTGACAGTCTCTGACAGGTTGTTTTGGTTCTCCAATTTGGTTCACATTTTTTTTTAGGGGCAAAAAAGTTGATGCTGTATTGGGGTATTGACTCAGCATCGTTACTGCCGCCCGTTGCTTTCTGTATGCCCTCGAGGTCCCACTGAGCTAATGCAGAGCGTGGCGAACACAAACTTGAAACATACAGGTTGGCTCAAGGACCCACCCACCAGGCACAACCTGGATGACAACCAGCAGGGTGTTTTGGGGAAGCCTGACTTTCCTTGTGCCCCAGGAGCGGGCAGCTCACAGTCTCAAAGCCAGAATCACTTCAAGAGGGGCATTGCAACATCTTGCACCGCAAAGCCTTTGGCCAGCGCGCAAGTTTCCTGACGAGCGCCAGACAGAAATGACTGCACCCAATGAGGCCGATGAGCCCTACCAAGATTACAAATGCATGCCGCCTCTACAACCACCACAGTGCTCACACCGCATCATGCAAGACTATTGTTGGATACCTTCCCGAAAGCTACCGAAACCACCACGGCAACCTGCCACCACGGCAACCCTCAGCACGGCAAGTCAAAAGGCACAACGGAAGTATACTTCGAGAGACAGACCTTAAGGTTCCGGCACGCGGGGGAAAACTCACTTTCCGCAAGGAGGCGATAGATTCGCGGTAATAGTTTGAGTGCAGCAGGTGATGACGCGCACCAGAAGTGAAAATTATCTGAAAATCGGAGGCTTTTGATTCGTGGCATGGAGAGTCGACAACAGTTGGGATTGGAAGACTTGTCTTCTTAACAGAAGTGCAGCTGCATGGTTCAGGCAGTTGCAACCCAAACCCATCAGAAGCTTTGAGTCGTTCCCATCAGGAATTTGGGCTGTAGGGGATATAGCCCATTCCAGCTCTGCCATTTCTTTTGTAGATGGTCTGTCTGGGGATGCTGATCCATCAGAGCTCAAGTAGCAGTTGTGCTGAGACTGAGAAACAATCCCAGAACACGCGACGTGAGCTTCTAGCTTGTTCTTTTGCACGTTTGTAGTTCTACCTCTACACAGATCCAGGTGACGACGCAGGAGCGGCTGAGACAAGAAACAAGTGACAATGACCGCCGCGGCAGCAGCAGCAGCAGCAGCCGCCGTCACTGCAGCAGCAGCCGGTCGGCGCAGCAGCAGCAGCAGCAGCAGCAGCAGCAGCAGCAGCAGCAGCAGCATCAGCCGCGGCAGGAGCGGCTGCGACAAGTGAAAAATGGCACCGCACTTTTGTACATGTACACCCTCCTACATGCACTGATCCTTCAGCTTGCTTTATACCTCATAAGGCGCACGCAAGTGAACCCGAATTGAGGTCAGTTCCAGGAAGAATATCGGCAACAGCACTCATGTTGGAAACCTCTTCAGCCCTGAGCTGTGTCTTGGGCCCAATCCTAAGTCATCTCGGCAGAACGCAGGTACGAAGCAGCCCGTTCACCCTTTCCAGGACAACTTCTACTTCAGAGCTTCGGAGCCAGGCATCACGCTGTGGATAGCTGTGGATGCGCCTGGTTCATCAAAAAACATGACTATTTCGTGCTGCTTGTTCCATCATGCCTGCCTGCAGTAGCTATCTGCGACATATCAGCTGAGGACATGGATGACTCGAGTGGCACCTTGCGCTATGTTAGTGGAAGTCATTTGGCAGGTTTGCGTATGCACGAGTGGGACTGGGGCCCAGCTGGCTTCGCCAAAAATATTTGCCCAGAGCTCAGAGCTCTCTTTGCAGTGATTGTGACTTTAAATTGTCCCTGCTCACAGTTTGGCCCTTTGCGCAGACGATTACTGCGATGCCGATGATGAACTGGAGCGATCACCTGGGCACTTAGATCCCGGCGATGTTGTTGTACATCATGGACTGACCATCCATCATGCTTCAGCCAATCTCACCAACCACCGGCGAAGAGCTGTGGCCGTCAATTACGTAGCAGAACATGTCGCTCACAGCATCGTGGATGACTTGTACCAGCTCCTGTCTTAGCAAACCTCAGATCCGCCCAACCTGTCAGACTAGCTGGAGTGTTGTACCTGCTGCCAAATTCTGAATTCGATCTGACCATGCTCACGCGTCTAGTGCCTAGGCCTTCCCTTATCTTCGACATCCAAAGGGAGAGGCTATTGAATGCTGCCGTATCCGACTGGCCTGAGAGGCAGGTGCTGGCAGTTACGTCTGTCCGGTGCGCTCTCGGACGACCACACTTCTCGTCGCGTATTCCTGGTACGGTGACCATTGAAGACGGCAAGCTTGCGGTACGCATAGATGGGTGTATGAACGAAGCAATCCAGGCCCTGATTGATTCTGGTCATGCTGTGCGTGGAAAGCCACGGAGTCTTGAGAATGTTCCCGTGTCCCAGAAAGCTACCAGCTACAGCGGCGTGTGGATTCTGAATGATGCTGAGCTAGAAGGAATTTGGGTCCAGAGCTCTTGTGGCATCTTCGTGGACATCTGCACGCCAATGTTTTTGCAGAAGGCCACTGATATCCAGCAGACCTCGTAATCCATGGCGTAACAAGAGGTAAGTATGAGGCTAACGTATCCCTGTGCAGCATGCTCAACACGCAGGTTGAAAAGCCGATTGACCACGCCGATCTTGCGAAACAGCAGGCTGCAGCAGGTATGTTGCTGGATGGTTCGGACAAGGCCTTGCTTAGCGCGTTGAAGCCTCTCTGAGGGCTTGCCTGCCTCTTTAGACCTGGCCTAATGAGGTTGACAAAGATCACCTGGTAAGCTTCCAATGCTCCCAGCCGCGTTCGCGGAGAAGGAAACTTTACAAACACGAGGACCGGGGTACTGAGCTTTTCGAGGAAGTGCTGACGGGACCAGGCCAAAGCACCCCGCCGTGCAACAGATTGCAATCACTCAGGTGATGACCAGGTGGCTCAAGTTTCAACATCTGTTTTGTGGGCATCTGCCGAGGCAAGGTTGCCTGGCAACGGGTGGAACACGGGAAGGGCACAGTGCTGCAATTGGAAGATGGAAGTCCAGGTTGGTGGGTGGCCCGGAGCTCAATTCCACACCATCAGTGAGTTGTGTCTATTCCTTGTGCCCGTGTAGATGGCCTGGCGGCAGACAGTGCGAGAGCAGTGATTCTCAAGGTCTGTGGCAGCTGGTGGGGAAGAATCCTGGGCAGGGAAGAAAACGACGTGGTGAGGCATGTCAGCTGCAGATCTCTCTGGCATCTCATCACCACATACTCAGAAGAGCTCGGCCTGGACGAGAACGTCGCACTCTGTGGCTTTCATGCGACATTTGGACGCATCGAGAAGCCAGGCATATGGCGAGTTGTTCAAGATCTAGACCCTTCTCAAGTCGGGCCGTGGCCTTATGTCCTAGTGCATCATAGACAGTCTCGCGGCATGTTGAGCGGTCAGTTTTAGTTTGTTCTTTGGATCAGCAGGGCATCCGTGCTGTGCCAACATGCTCCAACGCTCAAACATAGAATGGATGATCCATTATGAGCCAGATAAAGCTTTAGACTTTAGAGTTCCCTGGTGATGCAAAGCCACGACCACAGAATTTTCACATCGGGGCGAGAAGCTGCCTTGACACTGTGGGGTGGGACCAGGATGACAGGGAATGATGGGTTGTCTGCTACCACAGGAAAGGTGATAGGCAGCCATGCCGCACTCACTGGACAGGCTGCTGCGTTGAGAGATCCTTGGATGTCGTGGCATGATGTGGCATGCAGGCTGAATGTGTTCGCATCATGTCGCACTTTTCAGATCGCCTCAGCATGTGAAGTGCCGCGCGGCTATGGCTGAAGTCAGGTCCCTTCTTCTTGATGGATCTTCGAAGCACCTGATTCGTGCGGCTTCGGGCATTCTGGAGGAATCATGGTCAGGTTTGCGTTGGAGAGTTGCAGCAGCTTGGTGGCACCTTCCTGCTCCAGCTAGGGTGACTGGATCCAGGCTTTTGCGTAGCAGCTATTCTCTGAGCGATTCTGTTGAGACAATCCCGAGCAGAAAGGACAATCACGGCGACCTCGCGAGCCTCAGCAGTTCCAGCAGCTTGAAGCGTAGATTAGGAGATTCTGATTCTGAGCGGCCAGCAGAGTTCACTTCTGAGTCTGAATGTGCACGAAGCAGGCAGCAGGGTCAGGAGAATCAAGCTGCCGCATGATAGTGGTGCCTTGGTGCCTGATGTTTGTCAGCTTATGCTGTCGCCAAAAGAAAGTTCACGGTGCTTTCGTAAATTGCGGGGCATGGAAATGCACCCTCTAAGGATTCCTGGCCACAACTGCACGTGTTTAGGACTTGCCGTGCTCTGCAAGGTATGTTGCTCAAGCTGGGGCCAGCTCCCACGAGCTTCGTTCTAAGTAGAGGCCATTTTCATATTACGGAATTGTGACGCTGGATTGGCTGATGGTTGCATGGGCGATATTTTTCTCCGTTTGTGTGCAACCAAATCAAGCCATTAAGGATGTGAGCGCGGCAGTCAGCTCCCTTGGTGAGATGCAAATGGGGCCAGGGGAGGTTCTGCCGCATTTTAGCTACCGATTGCTCCGAAAGGAGACGAGGTCGTCAATACTGGCATCCACAGATCTGGCGTCAGCCCCTGCGCTTGGCAGAGCTCCAGAAATAAAGCCTAAGAAGGCTTCTGGCGCAGTGTCTGCCTTAGGTGTTGCTCCGCAACTGGAGCAGAGGAGCGCTGAGCAGCGAGCACTGCCGGCAAGTTCGCCTGCTTTGGGAAGTTTCAGTAGCTCCTCCAAAACACGGACAGAACGGGGCAGGGAAGCATCATCTGCATCAGAGTCCACCACCACGTCTGCGGAAACCTTGAGAGGTGAAGGTACCATTTCTGAAGCTAGTACTAGCGAGGAACAGAGTGACAATGATGGCACCACCACGGACCAGATGGGAATGTCGACTACCGACGATAGCTCCTCTGAAGAGGAGGAAGAAGAGGAGGACATGGAGGAAGAGGATGCACGCAGCATGACAACTTCTGCACAGGCAGGGCCTGCAGAAGAGGGCACGGAAACGGAGGAAACCAGCACAAGTGGTGAGGGAGTTGTTGCTTCAACCACAACTTTACCTGAACAGGATGCACAAGACGAGACATCAAGCAGTAGGGCTGCTGTGGAGGAGTCTCCCGAGCAAGGCACTACCTCCAGTGAGAACGTGGACTCGACAGAGACAACTACGGAGTTCACTGAGGAGGAGTCTAGCAGCAGCGCCAGCCACAGCACCACAACAGCTCGCCCAACAGCATCTACAACGTCAGGTGCCGAATCAACTGCTGTCACAACTACGTCCAAGACAAGCAGAAGAAAGCGCTCTGGTGCCAAGAAGGTGTCCACATCTACTATAGGGCCATCAACATCGACTTCGGGAAGGAAAAGCAAAACTACTACTCGCACCAGGGCCAGTGCTAGATCAACTACAAAGGCTGCGAAGAAGCCTCCGTCCACTACTACTTCATCATCGAGAAGAGAAGCGAAGACGCGTTCCACAAGCAGACAGCCCAACCGCAAAACATCCACGCGGCGTGCTACTTCTACCACCTCCGGGCAGGCGTCTTCCAGGCCAGGCAAACCTGGCCCGACAAAATCAACAACCCGTCCACATAGCGCGAGTAGCTCAAGCATACCAGTGAGACGGGCGTCTTCGACATCACCCTCCTCGGCCAAGACATCCTCTACCACCATGGCTAGCACACCCTCTCAATCCACAAGCTTATCTACGTCAAAGATGGAAACCTCTGCCCAGATGCGCCAACAAACAACAGAATCCACGACAACCACCCCATCCAGGGACACTAGTACTACACAGCAATCGCAAACCCAGTCCGCAAGTGTTCCGCTTGCGACGACAGTTCAAAGAGCAGTTCCAAACCCCGTTGCACAAACTGCTTCAAGTACCACAACCTTCACCACCACCACCACGGCCACCACCACCACCACCACCACCACCACCACCATCACCATTACCACCTCCACCTTCACCACGACTACAGAAACAACTTCCTCCACGTCCACTAGAAGCACAACCTCCTCCACACCTGCGACAACCAAAGTGCCCAGCATCAGCACAGTCCTAACTACGACGGCGGCATCTCTTGCCACCACGCCAGCGACAACGACCACTGATAGGGTCCTTCCTATGTGCCAAGGGCCTGCCCTGGTTTGTGATCCCAAGGAGACGGACCCTTGCAAGTATCAAAACCCTTGTCTGAGCCCAAGATCCAGTGACATTTTGGTGGACAGCTGGAATACACTTTGCTAAGGCAATGGGTACCAGATGTGCCAAGAAGGTGTATTCAAACCATGCGTGGACTTCACAAGTGGGGGTGAAAGCGGCTGTGAGCTCTCGCAGGACAGGGTTGCTTGCTAACTTGTCCTAGATTGCTGGAGCAGATCAAGTGCCTTGCATCCTTGCCTGTTCTGAGGACGTTTGTGACGGAACTCAGCTACATCCGCTTCTTCTTGCTCGATTGTCAGCGGGCCTCGTGCAGTAGCAGGCAGGCATGCATCGCTTCTCCTGCACCTGCACAGCCAGCATGAACCGGCTCAACTAAAACAATCCTAATTTAGCTTGATGCCTGTTTCGCATGTGAGCGTTGCTCTCATGTGCATAGTAGAGGGGTGGTAAATACCTGCATGTTGCCCCCGTGCAGCCTTCCCTGGGCCAGGACTTCGAGAAAAGTGATGTTGGTCAGAGTCTCAGGACTGCTTCGTTGTTCGTGTTCTGGAGCTTAGATTCACTTTGACGTCACGCGACGTGTTGATGGCGAAAGGATGGCATAAGAAACCGCAGTCTTTCAGAGGACTTTGGCCCTGCTGTGCCGTGCAGAGGCTGTGCTCATGCAAGCGCAGAAGTGCTGCGGGTTTCTGTAACATGGAAAGCGCATTCTTGGTTGACGGGCCGACGTGCCTTCATGGGGAACCTTCAGATGCCATGCCATAGTCTCACCACTCTTCAATTGCGAGCCAAAACAGCGGAAATTGCACAGAAGATGATTCAGTCTGCACGCAGTAACGCAGTAGCTCGTGGGTAGCATCACAGCGCCCGTCCTACTGCAAGCATGTGGAAAAGTGATGCTGGGCCACGAACAACAACTCGCGGCGTGGCTCAAACCGGTATCGCAAAGTTCTCCCCAGCTTGTGAGCTAGGGAGAACATGCAGCTTGGCAGCAGCAAGCTCTGGACTTTGTCTGGACCTAGCTTTGGCATGTGCTTTCTTGCCAGGTGCTCCTGTCAGGCAGCTTGCGATCTCCTTCGCTTGGCGTAGACTGGCACACGTTCAACTCCCATCCTCAAGGCGCAGAATTGGACTTGGGTGAATCTTGCGGTTTTTCCCGAGAGGCTTGTCTGCCGCTCTGTGGCGTGCCTGTTGGGTGGCTGTCCCTGCTTGCGCAATCAACATCTTGGCTACAGTGCACTCACGCCTCGGTTGGCTGAATCTGAAAACAGGCCACACGTGTTTAGAGAGTGGCACTTTGCGCCACGTGAGCAGCTGAGGAATGCCTTTGTTCACGTTAAAAAGTCCTGAGTGAATGCGGCATGACTTTTGTATACTTTACACTTCGGGCCAACTATAGCAAAATACCATGGTGGAGACTTTAGAAAGCTTGTAAAACGCTGGGTGTCCACAACTCAACTAAGACAAGATGACTTGAAGAACAAGCAAAGCACGCATGAGACCTGCGACGCGGTGTAAAGAGATGGGGTCGATCCAAGATGTTGCCCCCAAATGAAGAGGAAGAGTTTCGTCTGCCGCTGCGTAAGCTCCGAAAAAAATTGCGCATATGCATGTGGCTTGTACTCACTGGACGTACTGAACTGGGAGTAGCTGGAACTGGATACAGGCGCTGTCATAATCAGGAGCACCAATACTACCAGCACACTCATCCTTCAAGGCGGACGCCTGGCATGGCAGTAAACGCACAATGAACCCAAAGCGGAAATTCAGACTTTGTTCCCGGCGTTCCCCGCAGACAGCTGTGGGTTCTCTTCCTTTCGAGATTTGGTCCTGCATAACATGCAAGCCTGCACCCGTCCAGGGCATCAAGCCTTTCGAGTTCCATGGTCCGCGCCTGCCCGAAGTTCGAGGGGTGTAGATACCAGCTTGACCTACTCCAGGCCACCACACTATGTGTTCTTTTGGTGACTCTTCAAGTTGCCTTCGTGCTGACCTTATCACGTGCATTTGCATCAAGTCTCAATGCATGAGAGCTGAGCTCAGACAGGCTATGAAAAAAGACCATGTCACCGCCCCTGAGGTCGGCAAGTGATTCAGTAGAGAATCATCTATGCCACGTCACCATCTTCCCTGAACAGGAGAATGATTATGATGCAACAGCTACGATGCCCACTTTCCATGCTCTCCAGCTCTCTGAGGCCAAGGGAACTGACCGCCTCATCCACGTCAGTCTATGTTGAATGGCACAGGTGTCGCCAATCAGGGACCTGTCTTTCATGCAGGTCTAGTTCTCAGAGCTGCAGAGTCGGGAGCTAAACGGGCCCACCCCCTGAACCCATCATGTTGCCTTCTGCTCAGTTTTCAGGCTTGCATAGAACCGGGTTGAGCTTGACAGGTTTCACTGGAAGTGCAGAGTCGTCCTTCCGAGAGGGGCCACGTTGACCCACCCGTGGACTTTAGCAGAACGCTGACAGATGCAACCGATGCAGCACTGGAAGCTGCGAAGGAGAAGCAGGTTGTTTTGTGTTTAAACAGTGTGCTGGCGATAGCCCAATGGCTGAAATTGGAACCTTTCGAAGGATGCCGGCAAGTCTGCTGTTCACCTTTCGGAAGTTGCTTCAGAAGCTGCGCACGTGACTTGCCTTAACATGTTGTGACTTGGATTGTCAGCTTCAGCGTGGCCCGTTTTTTGAGGCCGCCGCGCAGATAGCCACAGTGACATTGCATCTCGGCACTAGCAAGTTTTCCTGTAGCACTTCATGATTGGTCACCGGTTTGCTGGGCATAGATACCACAGCCATACTGAGGTCGCGCCACGATGCCAAGGTACTGTAGCAGATGAGCATTGTGTAACACGCTGAAACAACCTTGTGTATGTGTCGCTCATTGGCGCCGGATCGCAGGCTCGGCCAGCCAACGTAACAGACAGCGAGGACATTGGCCAGCTGCCCTTTTTTGGTCTGCTGCAGAGAACTCCATGACCAGGGCACCCGCGGCGCCAACCTGGGAGAGCGCCTCGGACAGATTCGAAACACATTCAGATTGTAGCAAAGCATCTCGGAGCTGTGGCAGATTCGAGTAGGAATGGTAGGAATGCTTGGGCCACAGTCTCTTGTGCAGTTTCAGGCCTCCGAGTGACTTGAAATTTCACAAGGTTGCCTAGAACAATTTGAGCCCTTGAAGCTGCATCATGGCACATTCCTTTGCGCTTTTGCTGTGCTAAATGCTAGTCTTCACCTTGATTTGAGCGAGGTGCTTGTTGGAAAAGCCTCATGTGTCCTGAACATTCTTTCGACACTTCCACATCGGGAAACTGCTTGCAGCCACGTGCTTTGCAGCCATTTACTTCACCAATGCACGTAACTGCACGCGCTGGGGTTCCAGAAGCAGGAGGTTGGCCAGCCAAAGTGTTGCAACCAATCACACAGTCCCAAGCGAGATAAGGGTTGCGCCGAGTGCGAGCAGTGCAGGTTGCCTAAACCTAAGGACCCGGCATCAACACAGAACAGGGCTGGGGGACGGGGAGAAGGTGGGTGCAACCTTAGCCAGCCCATCTTCTGGCCCTTCGTTTTTTCTGATTATCCTGCTTTGAGCTCCGTGAGCAATTCAACTCAACAGGGGTGATGGGGATGTTGGGAGGTGGGCCAGGGCATTCAAAAACCCTCCGCGTTAGGGGAACAATGATGCAGAGTCCGCAGCTGGAGCCTGTGCGACAGGCGGCGCGCATCTCTGGCGCTGCCCAACTCAAAAGCTCAGACCGCCGACCAGCGAGGAATTGGAGCCGGAAACCCATCGTACAGTATATTACAGTATATAAGTCACAAGTCAGATGGGGAGCAGCTCCGCGCCATGGCAGTCCATTTTGCAGCTGGGTTGAGGCTTACTCACAGTGCTGCAGCGCGGCCGGCGCATGAACCGGCAACATGCCACGCACTCTTGCACAATACCGGGATGTCGCACGCAGGCGCCTTTTGTCCGATTTCTTTGCATGCGTTCTTTGCCCCGCTACCTTGCTTGCAATTTCTCGATTCTCGAGCGGCATGCAACTGGACTGTGGGGCTCGAGGTCAGTACTCGAAACTGCAGCCGACACGAGAAGTTTTTTCAAACTACAACAGGTCTTCCCTCACTCACACTTTTTGTGTTTGCGGACTCTGGCAGAATGTCCTGGGGGGCCTTCCCAGCAGACCGGAAGTGGGCTCAACGGGCTGCTTCGGATGTAGGCTCCGCCAGAAACGTGAAATCTCCTCTGCTTGGCACACCTCCAATTAGGCACCAAGTGTGGCATTAGGCATGCGCTGGCTGGGCAAAACATTGGTATACATCGGTCAATGAGAATGAGTCATGGCACCTCGATTGCATTACAGCATGGCTGCACTTTTGAGTTCTCGTTGCACCGCTTCATCACTACCACAGACCAGTGCGTAAGACTAGACGCATGCTCCACCCCTTATCCGCATTTTATGTGGTAGGGTGAGAGAGGAAAGGGTTTGCATCTCCTCTGGCAATCCAATCCATTTGGAAGAGATTGGGAAGAGGGAGGAGAGGGTTTACGTCTCCAACACGCCCCTCCAGCGTTGGCGGATCTTCAGGCTTGACACAGTTGCCCCCGGCCCTCATCTTGCGTACCAGTGCGCACCCGCCAAAAAGAGCTGGATGGAGACTTGCACAGGCAAGAGTACGCTTTATCGGGAAGGCTAATCTGGGGTCATGCAAGATTGAAGAGACTGAGGTCCTTGGCTGCGAAGCTCACGGCTGGATATGCTCTTTCAATTTCTGAAGCTTGCATGCAAGTAGTGAGCTTCATTAGCTTGCTCTTTAGCTGCGTCCTCACTCTGTTCCAGGACCATGTGCGACCTTCTCAGACAAACCGCAGCTTGGCTTCTCAGAAAATCATGCCTCAAACCTCTGGCTTCTGGCAGTCAGGAAGCAATGCGACAAGCGAATCTGGGGCCGAAGCCCATCGACCCGCAGAGGGCTCGTGTTGGGAAGCAGCTAGACGGTTTTGAGCATTTCTTGGAGAACTGCAGGTCGTGCGAAGCGGAGAGGGATCAAGCCGAACCAGCCAGGCACTGTTTCCTGCTGGTGCAACCTCTCTGGGTGTCCTTGTTGCCTCCGCTTGTCGCTAGCAGGAAAGTGGCTAACGTGGGAGCAAACAATGTTGGAAAAGAGCACCAGCAGACAAATTCTGCACCGGCATCGAGCAGAGTGCAAACATTGCCGCCTGAACAGCCAAGCTTGGGGCTTTGGGCCTGGAAGTTTGAAGTGTTTGGTAAGCAGCAGCCAATCACCCCAGCCAACTGTACTTGTAGTTGCT